CTGCAGCCACTGCCAGTCACCGCAGCCACCAAGGTGTTTTCATCAACACGGACTCCAGTCCCTTCACCATGAAAAAATGACAACTTTCTTTAGGAATTTTCAAGCTGTGTCTTTCATAGGATATGACATTTCTTTCTTTATTATTTTTTTTTATCCTCACCTGACGATATGTTTCCATTGATTTTTAGAGAATGTGGAAGAGAAAGGGAAAGACAGAGAGAAACATAAAAGTGAGAGGAACACTGGCCTGGGTAGGGGACCCCCAGCCCCCTCCGATCGTCCGCTCCACCCCTCGCCCTCCTGCCTCCCCCACCACCTGCCTGGCCAACAGGCCTGGATACTTCAGCGGCGGGGCTGAGGGGACTGAGCGCCGCCATCTTGCGGCTATGGGTGTGGCCATCTTTGTGACAGAGTGGCGGAGTGATGACTAATTTGCATATTACTCTTTTATTAGCTAGGCTAGATTATATGTGCTAATAAATTCCCTCCTGTGGCTTCAGTCACTTTAAATTATGTTTCTGACACCTATAAGAAAAAGTGTCCAGGGGCCCAAGTCCTCTGATCGAGCTCCTCCCTCCCCCAGAAAAGTGTCCCAAATAAAGTAAGCCCCACTTGGATTGGTGTAGGTTCTACAACTTGAAAAACAAAGGAAGGCAAGACTCAATACAGCAAAGTCCCACCAGCACGGACAGCCACGGCCACAATCATTTTCTAAATAGTGACCTTCAAACAGAGTGGCACAGGTGGGACATGAGAAGGCTGGCTCTAATAACACACAAGTCACCCTGGGAAAGCTCATATGCAATTCCAAGAGAATTATATGGTCCAACTATGCATATGTGGACCTCAGACCACGGATTGTGGGTCTTAGTATTCATGAGAAATTATTTGTCTCCATAAGCTGGCAAGGTTTGGGGATACTCTGGTTACATATAGAATAAGGAAGTAGCACTAGCCTCCACCACTCTAGGTTCCATTGAAATCCAGATATCTATTGTTTGATAACAAAATTAAAGTTAGATTCTTCTCCTTGACTTGCACTGGATATTCACCTGCCTCTTTTGCCTTAGAACAAGAGTCAGAATAAAGGAAAGCCTGGGGACATGGTGAGTGAGCCTGGTTGGGCACATAATGTGCATCTGCGCATTGCGGGAATGCTGAAATGTGGGTTTTCAAACAAACCTGAGTTTCGGCTGAGAGCACCAGTTTGAAAACATCAAATGCTTGCCCACATATTCTTTCTTTGCATGTGGACACTGGAATTAGTGCTTAGGAAATGTGACCTCACTTCTGGGCTGTCCTTGGATAGCATTCGTCTTAATAAAGGGAATATTTCCTTTTAGCCCTGCCATGTAGTGGGACATAATATCAATGCAATCGGAAGAGCCAGTGAAAGAGAAGTCAAGATGTTCACAGCAAACAAAAGAGAGCAAGACTACCAAGGACTACCAAATTAAACAAGGACATAAAGTTTGAAGATGTCACTTTAAGACTGAGCACAACTGAAAGTATCAACGTGCATAAATGCCCTTCATGAAAATATGAAAAATAACATCAAATTCAGCATGTGGAAATCTGAAAACAGATATGTAAAAACAATTTTCCCCAGTGTGTCTACAGAAATCATGTCTAATTTCCTCAGTATCCCGTTACACATATAAAACATCAAGTTATATGATTTTTTGAGTAATAGTCACTTCACTAGCTATGAGCCTAATCTGAAGATCAATCAAGGTCAGGGTTTCTGTTCCATAGACCTATCCTGAATGCTGTCAGAGCTGAGCTGGTTATCTAAATTTTATAAACAAATATTGTCTTATGCAGGCTTAATTGGCCACTGAGCCTCCAGAGAAAACGTGTGTGCACCGGAAGTCACTGAAGCACACACACAGACAGCCACTCACCTTTTCTCGCCTGGAGATCGTGGCAGTTTTCATGGACGCACAGACCCCAGGCTGACCAGGAGGACACCACACAGTCTGTAGAGCAAGGAACGCTGCAGAGCTGAGCGGCTGCAGGGGCAGGCCCCACGCATAGTGTTTTGTCCACAGGTCTAAAGACTAAAGGACAGAAAAAGAAAAAATAATGCACCACGTCACATTCTCTGCTTATCCCTAGAATCGCTCCCGTCTTTGCGTGCTTGCCTTGCCCCATATCAGCTTCATGGTTAGAAGGGTAAATGCAAACAAAATATAAAACACTCTCTAATATGCACTGCTCAGCTGCACAGTATTAGCATTTGCAGTAAGAAAAAACAACAACAAAAAAAAAAAGGGTATTCAACAAGGGCATGCACTTGAGTTTCCTGCCTCACAGAGTATTCCCTGGGAGTCAAGAGAAGACCAAGAATATAGATACAATACCTAGAGTTATGATTTTAAAAATTAAATGGCTTTGTGAAGTTTCAAGATGAGCCCATCTCAAAGATATAAATGACTGGGTTGCTGTGAAAAAAATCAAAATTGAACTCCTGAGGTGGGGTGTTTAGCATAACCAATCTACTGCTGTTACTCCCCTGGGGTGGAGCTCTCCAAGACAGTAGAAAAATGGTTCTTAAAATAAGAAGAATAATCAGGATCAGAATTAGCCCAGAAAGTCAGTTTCATTAGTGAGGCTACCCAGAGGCACAGGAGTGTCTAAGGAGCGACAGGGACTGAAAACTAGGAGCCTGTGAGCACTTCCTGTGTGGCCCTGCACCCAGAGAACGCCCAGAACGGGTCCCCATCCTGGCACCATGAAAACACACAGAGGAAGGAGAAGATGAGATATTGATCCCTGTGGAGTTTGAAACATAAAAGTAACTAGGACAGCAATACCTAAAACGCACGAAAAAGAACACCAATGCATAACCACACTTCACAGAAGGGCCCCAGGCTAAGGTGGTTTTGGAGCATTTCAGAGTTTGTGAGCAAATGACTTAAGTTCAGAAGGTTTTATCTTATGGACGGGCTTACACTATTGTCTAAATATTTCCTTTGCTATTTCCATCCAGCTAAGCAGATTAGAATTGCTTCAAAGACAGAGACTGGCATGAGGGGATTGGGTGGTGACTCACGCCATCTACTTTGTCTCCTCACACTATGTGCAATGTGAATTAAATTGGATAAAGTTGGCACTAAATCACTGCTCTGACCAGCAGAACTTTGAGCACAATCCAAAACAATAACAAAATAAAAATTTTAAAAATACTGTCATGAAGAAGTCCCATGAGGAAAAAAAAGGGTTTCTAATGAACAATGGGACAGCCTGAGGTGATTGTGCAGGTGAATGAGAAAAGTAAAAGGTTGCAAAGAAAAATAATAATATTTTGTTTGAAATTAATTCTTTTACAGCTTACCAAAAGGATTTGACCTGACTTAAATAAATGGCAGGGCAAAGCAAGATTAGAAATATAAATGTCAAGGGCACAAGCCAGTGGAGGAGACAGGTAAAAGAAGAGAGAACAGCCCTAGCCGGTTTGGCTCAGTGGATAGAGTGATGGCCTGTGGACTGAGGGGTCCCAGGTTGGATTCTGGTCAGGGGCACATGCCCAGGTTGCAGGCACTATCCCCAGTGGAGGCAGTCGATCAATGATTCATTCTCATCATTGATGTCTCTCTCTGTCTCTCTGTCTCTCTGTCTCTCTCTCTCTCTCTCTCTCTCTCTCTCCCTCCCTTCCTCCCTCCCTCCCTCCCTCCCTCCCTCCTTCTCCTTTCCTCTCTGAAATCAATAAAAATATATTAAAAATAAAGAAGAACAGGTGTGGGTGGAAAGCAAAAGGGAAGGTGACGAGAGTTGATGATCAAACAGAGACAGTGCTGGTGATGATAACAGTGGGAAGGGAGGTTGGCGTGACCAGGACTGAAGATGAACATCTGACACTGATCGGACGGAGGGGAGGGGGACGGGGGGGATTTCTTTCCTAGGAGGGATCAATGGCTGACACACAGGACAGCCATTCACTGAGTAAGTATGCATTCAATCTAACCACTGAGCACCCACGCTCAATCAGGCTCAATCAGGCGCTCTTAAACGGTGTCTGCTTTCAAAGAACTCTAAGTCAAGATGCCTAAGGCAAGTAGCGTATTAACAAACTTGATGGAAAGAGGTGCTTCAGAGCATCAGGTAAGTAGAAAGCCCGTATCCAGAGGTCCTCAGGCAGGAGAAGGCTTGTGTCCGGGCCCAGGCTTGTTACAATGTGTTCTCACAAACTCAACTTTAGTTCTAAAAACAAAACCTCGATAATGAAGGACAAGGAATCAGGGCGTGTAAACTGATTAATCTTCTTAGTTAAAAAGACATTTCTAGTGCACAGCAGGCACCAGTTATAAATGTATCAATCACGTTAAGCTGCATAACTGCTTTGAGATATACATTATTATTAGTCCCAGTTTAAAAATGAGGAAATTACGACAGAAATATTTACTCTCTTTCCCACATTTCCAGTTGGTGAGCAGAAGAGCTGGGATTTGGACCCAGGGGTCTGTCTCTTAACCACGGCACCAAGTAGCCTCTTCATTGATTATTCAACCTACATTGTTGCGTGCCTCCCATGTGTTAACACAGTGTCAGGTGCTCAAACCAGAATAGTTAGTGAAATAGTTAAGGCCCCTGCCAGCATGGAGCCCGCATTTCAGTGTGGGTGGACACTAACCATACATGAGTCCATGGGCTCCAACAAGACTGGAAAGCTGTTACGGTTACTCCTTTTTCCTTTGGCATGGCTGTCTCCCTGCAACACCAGCCAGACAGACTTAAGTGTCTGATGATCAGTGCTGAGAAGGTACCCCAAACCACTCAGCAACAAGACCCAGAAGACACTTGCTGCTATAACCTCTGTGCCTGAGTTGAAATTAGTCAATCTGCCAGTGCAGCGATCAAGCACACAGTAGGTCTGCATTACATCTCCTCGGGAGCTCTAGATTGTCTGTGTCAGCAAGGCTCCAGGTTGGCAGTGCAATTGGAAAGAGACTGGGGAACTCATTTTAAAACTGTGTTTGTTTTTACAGATATTAAGCTTCTGTGGCTTATTTTTGGGGGACTGTTGAGGATTATTGAGAGGTGTGGGGTTAAGTTCCCTCAGGCCTCCTTTGATAAATACATGGGGCTAATGATACTACTAAGATTTGAAAGTAGGAGAGAGGGACATGGTGCGCTGGAGAAGAACAAGGCGGGACTTCCCCGGGGACTATTAAGTGGCATAATGGGAGGCACAGGGGTGGGAGTGAGGCCATTTGTCAGAGCACTTCCACCTCTGCAGCACCTGCAGCTTTGACAGACAGGGGATCTTTATCCATATCAATAAATTCTTCCAGTCTCAGGCGACATGTCTCAGACGCTTCATTTAAGCACTGAATCAATGTGCTTGGGTCAACCTATCTCTCTCTCAAACCCCCTGGGCTACATTTGTTCTACAAATAAATCAAGAGGAAGTCACAAAGCACTTACCAGCTTCAGACCACTTAGGTAGTCATCTTCCCAAGAAAAGTGAACACAGGATATTTCTACACCTATTGACTGTTAGCGCTAGAAGGGAGTTTTTGAGCTAATTTAGTTTAATTTACCAATTTTACTGAAAAATGAGCTCCAAAGACATTATGTGCTTCCAAAGACCTTCACTCAGCAAATCGAGAGCAGAGCAAGCCTAAGTCTTATGCCAGGTGGTTGATTCTCCTTTCCTGGAATGATGGCATCAGGCAGCACATATGAGGTCATTTATACCAAGAACATTTGTTTAGGAGTCACAGTGACCATGACTGGAGCAGCCAGTGCCAAAATATTTCTAAGATATCTCCCAGGAACGCTGCAGGCTCCACTTAACCCTTAAAGCAAAATCCAAACCCTTCTCCTCCTTCACTGGTACTTCTCCATACCTCCTCCCAGAGGTCCTTCACTAAGTAGGAGGTAGTAGCTAGGAAGACCAACATTTGCTCCACTTCAAATGACCATTTACCTGTTTAATTGGCAGCTATTCATGTTGTAACAAAATTATTTTGGGAATGGCTGAGTGGGGGCCAATTCCTGGACCACCTGGAATTGGATGGGAGAGGCATTTTACTTTTGATGGGGCCTCATTTCTTCTTGGCCAAACTCCAGCCATGATGTCTGCAGGTAAAACTGCTGCTTTCTGCTTACCTGCACTCCTTGCTCTGGAGCTATGGACTGAAATGACTTTATTCTACTTACTAACTCTTTTTCCCCAGTGTGTCCATTCAGTACATGGCTATGCTTGTCCCTTGTCCCACTTTCTCAGCTGCCTTTTAGTCCCTGTCACCTTGAGGCCTTCTGTCATTCCTGTGTTAACCAACTGCCTGATTAGATAAGCAATTACCCAAGGTCTCATAGGCCACTTAGCCTTTGTAGGCAGCAATGTCAGCTCATACAGAGCCCTCTGGTAGCCACAAAGTGTTAAAGAGCCCAAATAACATGTAACTAGGGATATATTGGCATCACGACATAGTGGCAGCTTTCTAAATGCTAGGGAATATGGCGCAGTATTATAAGCAATTGTACATCTGCAATATTCATTAATATTTTAGTACCTAACCTGGAATTTTTTATTTGCAATTATTACATTGACCTGCCTTACAAGAAATGTGAAAGTCTGCTACTAATGATTGCAAAGTTTCCTTAAATAATGAATTACTCCATGAACAGCATGTTCATGGCAATTAACAAGGGGAAAATATTCTGGTAGATGATATGTTGAATGTTTAAAAAAATTATTTTAAATTCTAGAAACGTACAAAGTTCATGATTTTCCTTAATCACAAGGTAATTTCAGATGAGCATACTAATTCAATCAAAAATGAATTGTAATTAAGAAGAAAAATGCCTGTTGTGAACATTAGCATGTGACTGCCATTGTAAAGAAAAATTATTTCCTTCACATTTTGTTCTTTGAAACTCTATCAAGCTCTAATTCAAACTAATGTGAATTAATACAGAAATAAGTTGGCAAGGATTCAGTAAGAATATATTACCTCCCCACCCCAGCTGATGGCCATTTTATAAGATCTAAACTTCAATGTCTTTTAACTCCTCAAAAATAAATTAAAATGAAATTGCATAATAATACTTG